TATAATTACAGGTTTTTGTGGAGAAGGGAGCCGTCCCAAAAGATTCTGGGGAAAAGAGTAGGGGATGGACTGGTCAACTATGATTCTCCACCAGTTAAACAAGCAACTGAGTCCAAGGTTTCATAGGATGCAATGCTGCCCCTGAGACCGTGTAGTGCCAGGGACAGAAACTGAGTAGGGCACATGCCAAGCATGCTTAGCCACTGTTTTATCTCCAGACCCTAATTACATATTGCAACGTTGAAATTATTTTAAAGTAATTACTAATCCATGGCTATATTTTTTGTAGTCATATGAAATGGATCTTGCTGACTAATTACAATTATAAAAACATTTTTAAAACAATACTTTTGCATATATCATTATTTTATGAGAAACCATTCACCACCACCATCCTCACCACCATCCTCCCGTTGTTCAACGATTTGCTCAAGCTGGCCCAGTAATGTCTCCATTGGAGACTTTGTTGTTACTGTGTTTGGCATATTGAATACATCACGGGTAGCTTGCCAGGCTCTGCCGTGTGGGCGAGATACTCTTGGTAGCTTGCCGGGCTCTCGAGAGGGGCAGAGGAATCAAACTCGGGTCAGCCATGTTGGCTGCGTACAAGGCAAACGCCCGCATTAGCTAAAGTCTAAAATTTCAAAAATTATTTAATGAAAATCTTAAAATTTCAGATATACTAATAAGATTCAGAGTAGTCTATCTGCAAGTGACTACTAATTTATTAATAATTCCCAGGAATTAGGTTTTTTTATTGACAATTACAGAACTAAATATAAATTTAATACTTTAGCAAAATTCTTATAAAAACAAAAATAATAATTAGGTTATATAAATTACAAGAATGAAATGTCTGAGGAAGCATTTTACATAGAAAAAATGGCATGAAAGAAAAAATAGGAAGGAAGCCTAAAATACAAATACATTCAAATATAAAAGAAAAACTGCAGTAGCTCTGACAATAAATGTAAATACCTAAACTTATTTGTCAAACAATTTTCTTGAAATATTTTCCAAACCAAAAATTTATTTGTATTGTTTTGCCAACTTATATTTAAAATGTTATGGAAAACGACTAAAATGCAAAGAATGAAAAAAGCAAATCCCAAATGAAAAGTAATCACCCAAATGTAAAAAGCAGGTGTCAATATAGACACCTCCTCTTAAAACAAGGAGGTAAAGTGATATGCATGATACCCTTTCAGTAATTGTATTGCAAATCACAGTGCCTAAAAGGAAAACAAGAAAGAGATGTATGTGTGGGGGTAGGGGGCAAGAAAAGTGTTTGCCATAGAGACAGTCTGCGGGGGTGTGGGGTGGAGGTGGAATGTGGGGAGGTGGACAGGAGGGAACCCGGGGACATTGGTTGTGGGAAAATATGCACTGGTGAAGAGATAGGTGTTGGGTCTTGTAACATTGCACAAAACTCCATCATGAACAACTCTATAACTGTTTATCTCATGATCACTCGGTCAAAAAAAAAGAACAAAGAAGAATTCAAAATGATAAAATAGAATGGTAAAAACCATCACTTGATCACTTGATTCCCCGTTATTCATCGAATTACTCGAGCAGGTGCCAGTAACGTCTCCATTCATCCCTGTTGCATGCTAGCATAGCCCAATGGCATCTGTTCATTCTAGGAACATGCAGAGCCTCAAACCGATCATTCAGGGTCTTGACGAAGAAGTCTGATCATCTTGTAGGTGGGCATCCACGTGATCTTTTGACGTCCCGTAGAATCCAGTCAGTAATGGCTCTAGTCCAGTGGTTGTCTGTAAACCTCATTACGTGTCCAGCCCATCTGATATTTGATGCCTTGGCAAATGAGACAGCGTCCCTGATTCTTAAGCGTTGAAGGAGATCAGAATTCCAGATTCTATCTCTCATTTGAGTGAACCGTGATATTCCAAGCATAGCTATTTCGATTCATCTTTGAGAGACCCAAATGGCATTCTCATCCTGTTTTCGTAGGGCCCAGGTCTCTGAGGCATATGTTAATGCAGGAAGAACAGTGGAATTGAAGAGATGTGCTCATAGCTGGAGTTTCTTTGTCCTCTTAGTTATTTCTTCAATGCTCTTGAAGGCATTCCAAGCTCCTTTCTTCCTCTTGCGTAACTCAGGTGCCAGTTCATTCATCATGTTGATTTCTCGACCTAAGTATATATAACAGTTGCATTCGGACATGGTGGTTCCGTTGAGAGCGAATGGAGTGTCCGGAACGAGGCTGTTTCTCATAAACGTTTTCATAAGATTCAGCTGTAGTTCGACCTTTCCGCATTCATGGTCGAAGTTGGTCAGCATTTGTGCCGCTTGGCTGATGTTTGGTGTTATTAGAACGATGTCATCAGCAAAGTGGAGGTGGTGTAGTTGCCGACCATCTATCTTCACTCCCATTCCTTCCCATTCTAGTCGTCGCATGATGTTCTCGAGGGTGGCACTGAAGAGTTTCGGTGAAATGGTATCACCCTGCCGAACCCCTCTCTAGACATGGATGATTACTTCTTTGTAGAAGGCTGAGATCCTGGTAGTGAATCCATAATAGAGCTCACAAAGGATCCTGATGTATTGAGTTTGTATGTCCTGATTGGCTAGGGCTTCTATGACCGCTTCAGTCTCAACAGAATCAAAGGCCTTCTTTAAATCAATGAATGTTAGACAGAGCGGCATCTTGAACTCCTGAGAAACCTCAGTGAGCTTAGTAATCATGTGGATATGGTCGATGGTACTGAATCCTTTTTGGAATCCGGCTTGTTCACATGGTTGTCCTTCATCTAGTGTTCTGCTAATCCTATTCAGGATGACTCGAGTGAACAGTTTATAGATGACAGACAATAGGCAGATTGGGCAACAGTTGCCAATGTCATGGATGTCTCCCTTCTTGTATAGTAGTACAGTCCTGCTGGTTTTCCATTGGGATGGAACCTTGAATTCAGACAGGTAGCATGTGAAGAGCAGAGCCAGTGTATTGATGAGTACTGATGGTAAGTTCTTCAGGTGTTCAGGTCTGATCTTGTCTGGGCGAGGTGCTCTTTGTTTCTTTACCGACGAGATGGCATGTTGGATCTTGGAAGGGAGGACATTGGGAACGACATATGCATCATGCGGAATGTGGTATGTGGGCAAGTGGACATGGCTATTAAAGAGATCTGAGTAGAAGTCATAATAATCTTCTCCATTGCCCTTCTGGAAGATGTGATAGATCCATCATGATGTTGGAGGGCAGTCATCTTGGTCTTGTATTTGGAGAAGGACAAGCGGGCATTATGAATGCTTTTCCCGGCTTCTGCCGCATCTACCAGCATAAAAACCATAAAATTTTGAAAAAATAATTTTTTGATAAGTAGTTATTGCCACATAAGCTATATTTGCCATAGATTTATTGTAATTTGCCTAGACAGCAAATAAGATAATATAAAGTTGTATAAAAGGAAAGAGAAGTATTAGGGAAATATGACTCTTAAAAACTGTTATTCAATTTTATTGATAATGGTGATAAAACAAACATAATTATTAATTAAATCAATATATCATGCACATTTAAAGCTTTTGTATGCATTTGTTTAATCCTGATAATGTCTCTAATGAAAACAATATTATCAATCCAATTTTTTATTTAAAAACTACATATTATAAGTTACCTTTTTGCAGTGTTGATAATGTAAAGTGATGTCATAAATTTAAACTATATAGAGATTCCTAAAATAAAAATAAGAAAAAATGCATTCCATATATTCCAGTTATCTCAATTTTGAGTAATTAGCTCAAATATAAATGTATCCTATTGAATTTAAAGGTACTTACTGATTTAAATGCACTCCCATATTTTTTTCAGCATCATTCATATAATCAAGAATTGGAAAAAAGCTGTGCCAAGAGACTGACAAATAGATACATAAGACTTGACATATGAAATACTAATCAACTATTAAAAAATGATGAAATTATGCCATTTACCACAGGGATAAACCAGAGAACACTATATTTAGCAAAATAAACCAAATGGAAAAGGACAAAGACCTTATGCTCCACTCATGTGTATTATTTGGAAAAAACAAACACATGATCAAAAAAAACTATAACAATCTTTATTACTTGAGACTTCTTAGTGACTATTAGAAGAATTGGGGAAAGCAAGGAGATAAATCAGAACAAAGGGAACTTTGTATGTTGAAGGATCACTGTAATCACTGTCCTCCCGTTGTTCATTGATTTGCTCGAGCAGGCCCAGTAACGTCTCCTTTGGAGACTTTTGTTGTTACTGTGCTTGGCATATAGAATACATTACGGGTAGCTTGCCAGGCTCTGCCATGGGAGCGAGATACTCTCAGTGGCTTGTCGGGCTCTCCAAGAGGGCGGAGGAATCGAACTCAGGTCAGCCATGTTGGCTGCGTGCAAGGCAAACGCTCTACCGCTGTGCTATCGCTCTAGCCCATGTTGAAGGATAGAACTTCATATAGTGTATGTACATGTCTATGTCCACTGATGCTACTGAAATATGTGATGTTATAATACAATGGTTCCTTAAGAAAAACAAAACAAGACATTCTTTTTTTTTCTTTTTGGGTCACACCTGGCGATGCACAGGGGTTACTCCTGGGTTTGCGCTCAGGAATTACTTCTGGTGGTGCCAGAGGAGCAAATGGGATGCTGGGAATCGAACCCAGGTCAGCCACATACAAGGCAAATGCCCTACCTGCTGTACTATCGCTCCAGCCCACAAACAAGACATTCTTAAACAGTTAATCACTGTATCACGGTATCACGGTCCTCCCGTTGTTCATCTGATTTGCTTGAGCGGGCCCAGTAACGTCTCCATCATGAGACTCTTTGTTACTGTGTTTCGCATATCGAGTACATCACAGGTAGCTTGCCAGGCTCTGCCCTGCGGGCAAGATACTCTTGGTAGCTTGCCGGGCTCTCCGAGAGGGGCAGAGGAATCGAACTCGAGTCGGCCATGTTGGCTGCGTGCAAGGCATTTGCCCTACCTCTGTGCTGTGCTTCCGCAGCACATATACTAAAATTGGAACGATACAGAGAAGATTAGCATGGCCCCTGCGCAAGGATGACACGCAAACAGTTAATCATGGGTGTCAAATTTGCATCTTGGTAATTGAACATTAACAATCATGTCCTCATTCAATACATTGAAATAATTATAGTTGACCGAATTTGTATTTATTTATCATCTCAAATGCAACCTTCCAATATTTAAATGTATCATTCAATACAAATATTTAAAGAATTAATTAATTAATCCCAATCCATTAAAAAAAAGGAATACTGGATAAGGAAACGTAATGTAGTAAAGGGAGGGATGCCTAAATCAGACTTACCCCCAGATTAAAGGCAGGAGAAGGAAATAGATCAAGGTGGGGGTGGGGGAGAGGCAGGCAAGGAAGATGAGAAAGGAACTAATTGGGGAACAGGCCTTGATCAAACCAATGACGTGTGACAGTGGTATAGCTATGATTCCAAAGCACAGACTCAACAGCTCTGAAAACATGAGATCTAAACTACAACCACAGAACTTTGAAATGTGCCCGTCAAGGTGGCAGGTAGCGAGGAGGTTGGCATGTGGGAGAGCGTGATTACACTGTTGGTGGGAAGTTGACACTGGTGGTGGGGTTGGTGTTGAAATGTAAATCATGGTTCTTTAATTAATTTTTTAAAAATATTAAAAAAGAACCAACAGAAGTGCTGAAGTAATAGTAATGGCGCTAAGGCTCATATGGATGACCCCAGTTTATCTCCACAACTATATGGTGACCCCAAACCATATATGTGTGTATCTCTGGGTCCTCCAAACACTGCCTCTGCGGTCCAGTTGATTGACAGTATCTGAGCAGCACCGCCTACTGGGGCTGTCACATGTACTGCTGGCCCACTTGGCTGAGAATTGAGAGGGCCTCCATCCTCTGAGCACCACTTGGGAGACCTAGGTCTAAATAAAAACAAACAATAGCAGATAGCAACTTTATTTGAGAAAGGTGAATGGTATTGATAAAAGTTAAAATAACTCACCACCAAGTGATATTCACATGCAGAGTGGATCAGATGGCTGCTATACAAATGTCAGCTGGCTGGTATATCTCACAGTCCACAGTTCAGGAAAATTGAAATCTAAGTTATAGCGAGCCAGTAATAGACACAATTAAGATAAAGGAGCAGAAGAAGGGCAGAGGGAGGGCAAAGCAATGCAAGGAGGATTGGAAGATGGTCTTGGAAGAACCACAGTGACTGCATGTTGGTTGGTATTGCTAGGATGTTGCTGTAGGTTACAAATGTTAAAGTCTAAATGTAGCATGCTTCTATGAAGACCTATCTGTCAAGTTAAATCAAATACATAGTACTGTAGTTCTGTAGTACTACCCTCCCATTGTTCATCGATTTACTCAAGTGGGCACCAGTAACGTCTGCATTGTGAGACTTGGTTTTACTGTATTTGGCATATCGAATACATCACAGGGAGCTTTCCAGGCTCTGTCGTGCAGGCAGGATACTCTCAGTAGCTTGCCAGGCTCTCTGAGAGAGGCAGAGGAATCGAACCCGGGTTGGCCATGTATAAGGCAAATGCCCTACCTGCTGTACTACCACTCCAGCCCAATCAAATACATACTTTGAGAATAATATAAATATGAGAGTATATTTTTGCCTTATTTCTTTTGGATTCTTCCATTCTGTGCTCTTTTATTCTTGTTTTATATTTAATCTCTAATTTCTAACTAGCATGTGTATACCATTCTTTAAGTTATTGTTTCTTTTAAAAATGTATGTATTTAATTTCTTGTCAAATTTTAGAAATGCTTCCTTGAGTTTGAGATGTAATTCCCCCACCTTATCTTAATGAAATAGTCATAAAATTATAAATCATTTTCTAAAGTCGTAATAAATATCTTAAGTAAATCTAGGTATTTCCCCATAAAAGAAAAGTGGATGCAACTGTACCTCATGGTGTTTCACTAATAAAAATTTTTTAAAAAGTGGATGGAAATATTAAAAGAGTTATTTCTTCTTTTTTTTTGGTTAGATAATAAAGCAATTTGTATTTCTCTTTTTTTAATTTTTCAATTTTATTTCCATAAATTTGTTCATAATAATTGATCGCATTCAATATTTCAACACCAATCACACCACCATTACACTTTCCCACTCCCATTCTTTTGAAATTTCCCACTACCACTCAAGACTGTCCCACAGGCAGATGCTAAATAATTTATTTTGTGTTGCTTGTTATGAATAGTATGAGATGTTGTACAGACGCTTTCATGGCCACATGCTCCTGGAATTCTAAAGTTTTAAATAGTTGGGGTCTGGAGACATCTCTACAGCATGCCACTCTCTTCCGAGATTCATTTTTGAATCTCCGCAATTTGTATTTCTTGTGAAATCTAAGACAAATTTGCAAGTGCAGTATACTGAATCTGATAATGAGGTTTATGAATAAAGAAAAAGTGTTAGAATATTTATTTTACTTTGGGATTTGTTGTTCTTAACTTTGCTTTGAGAACTTAAGAGAGTTTTGAATGTTTATGTCTAGAGTTCACAGTGGATTTCAGAAGGGTTTAAAAGGATTCTTAGGTACATGTCACATGTTTGGATTTGCAAATCCAAACAAAGATTTCTGGTTAAGATATCTAATCAGTACTTTGTCTTCTTTGCAATAGATTATTGGGGAGATAAGATGAGAAAAACATGCTCTCCATTTTAGCAGCATTTTCCAAAAAATATTTGCTGTTTTTTTCAAGTTTGAATTGAGCATTTAATTTCTTTTATTCTGGTTCTAAGTCCCACCTTTATTTGTTAAATTCAAGAATCTAGTGGAAATCAGGAAACTCTCTCAGAGCTAACTATTTCCTGTGAAATGCACTCATCTTTAGGGTGGGGTGGAATAGAAAAATTTGACCTGCTGGGAAAGATATCTCTGGAAGGTAATCTCATATTGTCTTCTTATTTTATTCCATAAAATTCACTTCTTATCTAAGACATATTTTGATGATGGCAGAATTTATATTTTTAATGGTCTTACCTGTGGAACTTTTGAGAAATTTTAGAAATATGGTTATTTTGTTTGCTTGTTTTGTTTGTTTAATGCAGAGCAAGACACTTCTGTATAAAGACAAAAGGGAAAAGAAGAGGTTAAAAGTAAATCAAATATAAGTTGGGAACTCTGACAACTACCCGTGGAAAATTATTTATAGATAGCAATCAAAGTATCTTAAAATGATAGTTTCTTGGGAGGAATGGAGCAATATACAGTGGGTTCATATGTCGGGTTCTGGGAGTGGTCCCCAAACAAAACAAACAAGCAAACAATGATGATATATTCTTCTGGATTGCAGTGTCTCTGATGCCCTCATATATTTCAAAAAATAACACCAGGTATGCTACAGTGGTAACCTTTCTATAATCTATATCAAATTTTTATATAAACTTGTGTAATTTTTAGAAAGAGAATATTCACAATTCTAAATCAATGTACGTCAACTTGTGAAACTGAAGAAGCTAGTTTGGAAAGGTAAAGGTAAAAGGTAAAGGCCCTCCCATTGATCATCGATTTGCTCGAGCGGGCCCAGTAACGTCTCCATTGGAGACTTTGTTGTTACTGTGTCTGGCATATCGAATACTCTCGGTAGCTTTCCGGGCTCTCCAAGAGGGGTGGAGGAATCGAGTTTGGAAAGCCACAGTCAAATATTTAAAAATTCATAATTTATTCCGTTAGGACCAACTTTTTTAAAATCTCAAGTTTTAGTTTTTGAACCATATGGGTTCATAAGAGACCATGTGGGATGCTACATAGAACCCACATATCAACTGCATGAAAGATAAGTACCCTACCTGCAATACTACCTCTCTGGCCTATGAGCACCATTTAAAAAAAAGTATTAGCAGAATTAAAAACTAATATCCACAAAAATGTCATTAAGACATATTTTTATCTCTATCAAATCATTACATAAACAAGTTAAGTTTCATTCTAATATGTAATTATTTTGTCTAAGTACAAAACCACAGCCATCCTTAAGACCACTCTCCACACATTCGGACAAGCCTCACGCATGAAGGAACCAGCAGAGGAACCCAGGTGTGCGGGGATCTGGGGCGTAGATCTCCAAGCCTGCTTGGATTAGGACTGGGCCTCCTCCACCCAGATCCCCCATCTTCCAGTAGGTAGGTGTTACACCCAACAACTGCCCCTGGTGCCGTGTTATCCCATCAACAGCCAAGACCCAGGGACTATAAAACCCAGCTCCCGGAAGCTGGAGGAAGAACTAGACTTCTTATTGTCTAGTTCTCACTCTTGGAGAACCAGACAGGCTGCTGAGTGTATCCGGCCTGCAAGGCAGAGTCTGGCAAGCTCCCCGTGGCGAATTCAATATGCTAAAAACCCAGTAACAATGATGAGTCTCATTCCCCTGACCCTGAAGGAGCCTCCAATGTGGCACTTGCTAAAATCTCAGGGCTAGGACTAATACAGACATTACTGGTGCCTGCTCGAGGAAATCAATGAACAACAGGATGACGGTGATAGAGTGAAGTACAAAACACAATCACATAGATTTTTTTGATTTGCTTTACTAAGCTTTAATATTAAGAAACTTCAGATTCAGCTCTAAATTATTTCTCAATTTAGGAGTCATGACTTTATTCTTTTTCAAGTGTCACCATCAGGATCCACCCATAACATTTGTATTTTGAAGTCAAAGTTCTCTATTTGTGAGGTAACTTAAATGCCCTTAAGTTTCTAATTCTGTTGAAGGGCTACGTTCACTTTCTTCTTTGTATCTCTTTTACTATAACTTTTATACTACCTTTTAGGTCTCTATGCTCCTTCCTTCTCTCCCTCTCTCCCTCCCTCCTACCTTCATCCCCTTCCTTCCTTCCTTCCTTCCTTCCTTCCTTCCTTCCTTCCTTCCTTCCTTCCTTCCTTCCTTCCTTCCTTCCTTCTTTCCTTCCTTCCTTCCTCCCTACCTTCCTTTCCCCCTTCCTCTCTCCCTACCTTCCTTTGTCTCCACCTGATGTTACTTAGGGATTACTTCTGGCTCTGTGCTCTGGATTTACTTGTGATCTCTGGCTCTGTGTTCAGCTTGGCAAACCATA